GAAATAGCTCTATGACGTAGGTATAAAATAATAATTAAAACTGTGTGATACTGGCATAGTGACTGACCAATGGAACAAACAAGTCCATAAATAGATTTATACCTATGTGTAAATGTGGTACATGATAGAGGTGGCATCTCAAAAGGGTATTGGAAAAACAAAACAAATAGCTTGGGACAATCATCTAGTTATTATGAAGATAAAATTGAATCTATATTTCTCACTTTACAATATGATAAATTCCCAATATAGTAAAACATTTAAAAGTAGGTAATAAATTCATACAAATATTAACAAGAAAACTTGGGATAATTCCTATATGGCATTGGATAGAGGAAGATCTTTCTAAATTTGACTCAAAATTCAGAAGCCACAGAAGAGAAAAGAAATAATTTCTGCTATATAAACATCAAGAACTTCTGTAGGTCCACCTAAAGCTTAAACAAAATTGAAAAAATATTTGCAATTGATATAAGAACTGATCTTTCTAATATAGAAAAAGTGTCAGAAAAGCAATAATGATATCAATAACCCAATAGAAAAATGGCTGAAGAGTATGAATAGATCATTAACAGAAACATATGAAAGATATTCCATCTTATTTAAGAAAAATGGCAACAGTTACATTGTGGTACCATTTTTGACTAATAAAATTAGAAAAATCCAAAAGTTTGATAAGTTTTATTCCAAGGCTTTGGGTAAACAAGGTTTCCCACACATTGCTGGAAGAAATGCAAACAGGTACAACCTTTAGGGAGGGAACTTGGCAATATCTATCAAAATTGGACATGTATATATCTTTCGACTGAAAAAGTTATCACATACAAAACACGATATATAAAAAGCTATCCATCAGCACTGTTTCCCAGAAGGAAAGGGAGGAAGAGAGGTGGGAATGGGGTAGGAGGAGGCCCCTACATAGGTAGGAGTAAAGTGTTCACTATATATTCAAAATATTTTGTTTTTGAATCACATGAATATATTACCTACTCAGACCTTGAACATTTTTTTAATAGACATGTTTTCTTGTTTTGGTCAAGGGAGAAAAGTAGATATTAAATAAGTAAAGAGTGATAAATGAAAAGAAAAAAAAATAAGAAACAGACACATGAAACCAGAGGGCCTTAGCCAGGGCAGTAGAGAAGCCCCCTGCCAGGAAGAAGCTTTGTGAGATAGTGGTCTCAGGCTACACTCTGTATCAGCTTCACCCAGTCACACCAGGGAACGTCAGTGGGCTTCCTGAAGCACCAGAGAGCTGGCACCGTGGAAGCCCCACGGACCCTCAGCCAAGTACAGCTACATGAGGAAGTTCAGGTGAAAGCAGCAGAGTGACCACCCAGCCAACATCATAAGTCCTTGTTGAAGCCACATGTTTTAGGGTAGTGTCTTACATATTAATAGGTAATTGATACCCAAACTACAAGCCTATTGGGAGAATAAATATACAAATGAACAATGGCCAGACCATATATAAAAACAGAAAACTCTGACCCACAATCTATAGCAACCTGCCCAGGAAGTCAACCCATTCTCTACAGCAGCAGCCTTTTTGGCTCTAGGGACTGGTTGCATGAAAGATAATTTTTCCACAGACGGGGTGGGGGGGAATGGTTTTGTGATGATTCAAGTGCATTATGTTTATTGTGCACTTAATTTCTCTTATCACATTGTAATATACAATGAAATAATTGTACAACTCACCATGATGCAGAATCAATGGGAGCCCTGAGCTCGTTTACCTGCAACTGGACAGTCCCATCTGGGGGTGATGGGAGACAGTGACACCCAGGGTGTATTGCTTATGTCCAGTCTACTCCGTAATCTTGTTTTGGTTGTCACTGCAGTAAACCCTGCTTCACAAAGACAGGATACTGGAAATGGAAGTAGGGTTTTCAGTGCTTTTGTGGCAAGCTCAGGATATTCCACCTTGACTTCAGTCCAGAATGTGTGGAGATTTGAAGTTGTCTCAAACATACCTTTAAGGCCACCATCATTTGCGATCTCGAACAGTTGATCTACTTCTAGCATGAACAAGGTCCATTCCCCTGGCTTATTCACAAATGGGTCAGAGATCCATTCCTTCCCAGTTTGGTGGTCTTTTGTGATTGGGAAGTAATGCTCAAGCTCTTTTGAAAGCTGAGATAGGTGAGCACGCACCAGCTGGGAGAAAGAAGGCCCTGGCTCAGTCTCTTTCAAAACCTCTGCTAATGTTTGAAACATGTCAAAAATCCTAACATTCACTTGTTGCCCCTATAATTCCAGTTTGGCTTTGAATGCAGCCACTTTATCTGCCAACATGAACACAGTTGTCATTCTACCCTGAAGTGACAGATGTAGTTCATTGAGCAGGTTGAATGTCACACAAGTAAGCAAGTCTGTGACCCATTCCGTGTCATTGAAATGTGCTGCCAGTGGTGACTGTTTTTCTCAAAGAGATCTCTGGAACAGCTCTTGTAACTCAAAAACCCTGGCCAGTGATCTACATTTAGAAAGCCATCTCACATTTGTGTATAAGAGAAGATATGTGTGCTCTGTGTCCATCTCCTCTCCTCACAGAGCTGTGTGAACAAATGTGAGTTAAGGGTATATACTTTAATGTGGCTGATAATTTTAATCACATCCTGCAAAACATTGTTTAGTTCAGGTGACATTTTCCCACTATCCAGCATTTCTCTATGGATGACATGGCATGCAGACTCACATTCAGAAGCAATCTCTTTGACTTGAGTAGTGAAAGCAGTCATGGCAGCCACTCTGTCCATACATATACCAACACAAAATGACCCATTCAGTTTTCCTGATATGTAATCATCCAAAGATTTGAATAGTTCTGCAGCTGTGGTGTTGGTTGGCAACAAAAGTGTGCTGAACATATCCTCATGCACATCCTCCTGAAAAATATATTGCATAAAAACAAGCATTGTAGCCTTATTGTCAACATCAGTAGACTCATCACTCTGGACTGTGTACCACAGTGACTCATTAATCCTCTGTAAAAATTGTGCCTCAGTATCCTCTGCTATTCCATCAATTCATCTAGTTGTGGTGCTAGCCAAAAGAGGAACACGTGCCACCTTTTGAACTGCAGCCTCTCCTAAAAGTTCACAGCAAATGTCCTTAGCAGCAGGCAGGATTAACTCTTCACCAATAGTAAAGAGCTTCTTACCTTTAGCAATGTGGTTAGCCACTAAGACTGATGCTCTCAGTGTAGACACATTTGATGAAGGGGTGGCCTTCGATAATTGCTTCTTTTCTTCATGTTCATGTTTTTTTCTTTTGAAAAATTCCAGAGGCTTGTCTTTTAATGTAGGATGGTTGGTGTCCACATGGCAAAGCAGTTTTGAAGGTTTCATGGCTTCGTTGGATAGCTGGTCACCACATATTATACAAAGCTGGCTAGGATGATGAGAATGCGATGAACCTATAATTTAAGTAGGACTCTTGGTATTTGCTTTTAAATACAGCTTTCATTTTTTGGCAGTCTTAGAGTCCTCTGCTGTCTTGTCATTAGGTCTTGCCCCCTTTTCAAAGAGGCTTTCCAATGATGGTTTGTTTTTTACTCACTTTTGCTAGGGTTAGCTTGTGGGCTAACCAAAACTGTGACTGAGACAAGCGCGCAGTGTGGGAAAGAAGCTCAGATGGAAGTGGTAAATAAAATAATAAGCAGGCCATGCATGGACTAAAATAACTGTAGGATTCTGACTTAAAGCCTGCCACCAGATGCAGCTGTACATTTGAAGTACATCAACTCACTTGCCACTAGAGAGCCTGCCACCAGATGCAGCTTAATTGTCACTTGCCACTCACTGATAGGGTTTTTTTTTTTTTTTGAGACAGAGTCTCACTGTGTTGCCTGGGCTAGAGTGCCGTGGCGTCATCCTAGCTCACAGCAACCTCAAACTCCTGGGCTCAAGCGATCCTTCCTGGCTCAGCCTCCCAAGTAGCTGGGACTACAGGCATGTGCCACCATGCCCAGCTAATTTTTTCTATATATTTTTAGTTGTCCAATTAATTTCTTTCTAATTTTAGTGGAGACGGGGTCTTGCTCTTGCTCAGGCTGGTTTTGAACTCCTGAGCTCAAACGATCCACCCGCCTTGGCCTCCCAGAGAGCTAGGATTACAGGCGTGAGCCACTGCACCCGGCCTCTGATAGGGTTTTGATACGACTCTGCAAGCAATTGATTTATTGTGGTCTCTGTGCAGTCTAACCTCTGCTACCGATAATCTGTATTTGCAGCTGCTCCCCAGCGCTAGCATCACCACCTCAGCTCCACCTCAGATCATCAGGCATTAGATTCTCATAAGGAGCATGCAACCTAGATCCCTCGCATGCACAATTTACAGTAGGGTTTGCACTCCTGTGAGAACCTAATGCCACTGCTGATCTGACAGGAGGCAGAGCTCAGGCGGTGATGCGAGTGATGATGAGTGCCTATAAATACAGATGAAGCTTTGCTCACTCTCCTGCAGCTCACCTCCTGCTATGGGGCCCGGTTCCTAACAGGTCATGGATTGGTACTGGTCCATGGCCCTGGTGTTGAGGACACCACAATAACCAACCCAGGACACTAGCCTGCTGTCCATAAATCAGACTTGTAGAACATCAGACCACTCTTAACAACTGATCCAGGAAGCCAAACAATCCCTGTAATAATTGATCCCAAATGGCCAGGACTTGATTAATAACTGGCAGCTTCCCTAATTTTTGGCCTCACTTCCAACTCAGGACCAATCAGAGAAGGCCAAATAAGCTCCCCTAACCAATTACGTAGCAGGCTCCCTTTCTAGTGAGCACCACAGCTTCCCCAGGCCGACAGCCTCCATCAGGGCACTCCCGAACCCTCCCCTCCCCCCCGTGAGCTTTCCTGCTCCTCAGCCTGCCTGTGAGTCTCTGCCCAAATGCCAGTGATGGTGGCTGACTCTGAATAAATAGGTTTTGCCTGTTCTCATTTGGCTGGTCTTCATTTATCTCCATACTATCACTTGTTTTTCTGCAGGTCAAGTGTAAATAGAGCCGGTCCAGTCAGCAGGAGCATGTGGGTCACTGTCCACTCAGCAACCCAATGACACAGATTCCCATAAAGAATATGGGAATCTGCCATCGCCAACATTTCTAATTCTCTCTGTTCCTCATCTTTAACATGGGAATAATAGCACTTATCTAAGGTGTGTGTTTATGTTATCAAAGTGATTATATCACTGTACAATGCTATAAAATGAGAGCTATCTCGCCTTGCTGACCGATAATATTTACATCGTGCTTTTTAAGTGAAACATAGTAGGCACCCAACAAACATTGATCTCCCTCCTTCTGGGTGGGAGATGGTCCCCACCCTCAAATCCCATCCCTTACCACCATGCCTGACACTCTCATGTGCTCCACACATACTAATTTAAAAAATATATATGGAATTTATTGAGGTATATTTTTCTTTGACATCTAAAAGACAAGAAGAGTCTTTGAAGAGCTGCTTAAAAAAAATCCATCCCTTACAACAAGTACAATTCTCAAAAGACGTTCACTCATACTGCCTCTAGAGTATGCTTTCCCTCATTTTATAGTTTTTCATGGTAAAAAGAAGCAAATGTTGTCTTTCAGATTTGATGCAGAACCTCAGGACTATGCCAGTTTCTTTCCCGTTGGGTAATTTTTCTGACATTAACTGCTAACAGCAGGGCTACAAATAGTCACTTCTTCCTCCAGGGACTAGAGAACATGAGCAATACCTGAAAGACACCAGCCAAATGCCGTTTTGGGTAACAGCTAGTAAATCCGTGATAACTTCCTAGGCAGAATTTACTGTCTTTGCAGCTATAAAGAGTTTAGTTCCCTTACTTCCAACTATACAACCTGACTGACATTTTATATGCACCAATGTTACTGTATTTCAGTTTCTAAGACAGGATTAAGGCATTTCCCTCCCCAATAAACAAACATAACAAACAGCATCAATACCATTCCCCAGATCATTTCACGACTGAATTACTAACCCCTGAGGTTTGGCTGTTTTTAAATCAGAAGGCTATTAAGTAGCTAGATGAGAACTACATGAATATACATGAATTAGAAATCACTGGCACAAGGGGCTTCTAGGGATGTCTAGTGATCTCATTCCTTATCTCAAAATCATTTCGAAAGAAGGTAGGGAAGTAGTGTCAATATACTTAATTATAAATTCTGAAGTTATTGAATTAATATACTAAACCTACTTAAAGAAAATTGCAAGAGCACATTCCCTTTTTCTTCCAAGACACGATAATTACAACTTAATTTTATAATTGTTGGGTCAAATTTCTATATTATTTGGGTTTTGTCAGTGCAGAATGTATAATCACACATGCCTTCTTAGGATGTTTAAAATTTGTTTTATCAAATTTTATGACATAAAATTAAGCAATTTACAGTAAAGGTCAATATGTTATGAAACACTGTTTACAAAGTTTATTTAGATACATTCTATAATTCATAACCTACATAGCAACCACCTTATTTAATAAGTGTTGCTCAGTTCTTCAAACTTCATTATGAAGTAATGAAAAAGCATGTTTTGTTGACATATATTTGAAAGTAATATACCACATTTGGTTTGACAAACACTGGTATGTAACAATGTAGACTAGAATTTAGCTTCATGTTATAGTCTTAAAATAGGCAAAAACTGTTTGCAGCTTTTGTATTTTGCACTTTGAAAATAATCTGCATTATCATTAAAGACAAGGTTTTAGGCTCATTAAAAATAACAATTTTTAACATAGGTAATCTTTAGTCTTTGAAAAACCATATTAGATACAATTGCTGTTCAATTTCCCCCTTTAAAATTTCTTTTTTAAAATTCTAAAGATACTATTTATGCTAATAAGAATTTTATTGGATCACGTGAAGTCCATTTTGAGATAAAGACGCAGAATTATCACTTAATGTCAGAGTTCTTTAAGCATCCCGTCTTTATCAGCTAACAAATGTTCAAATTTTAAAAACATCCAAAACGATCTTTAAAACGTTAAACAAGATGCTACACAGTCGAGGTACCGGGTATTACTCTCTTTTGAGGTTGAAGGGCGTTTAAAGCTGCTCTATCTTAGAGGTATATTTAAGGGATAATTTTGTTTAATCCTTTATAAACAATTGGTTTTATCTGGATGTTTTAAAACAGAACTTGAAATAGGTGTCACAAACTTCTTTCAAAATGAGAATTCTCAGAACCACGTCCCCACACCCAGGGGCTGAAGACTCCATCCCCCTAACTAGAAGTAGACCCCACGTTCACCTCCAGAGGAAGGGAGACTGGGAGACCAGGGACCCCACTTCCCCGGGGGCATAACCAGGAAACCCATCATCCTCTGGAGCGTGGCCCGACGAACCTCCCTTCTCCCAGAGCGTGACCTGGCTGACCCCAGTTAAAGGCTGCTGACCCGGACCGGGGCGGAACTACAGTGCGCGCTGCCGCGTTTCCGGGCGGCTGCACTCAGGGAGGGACACTGTGCGCGGCCAACTTAGCCGCCGCGGCGGGGCCGGAACGCGGCCATGAAGTTTAGGGCCAAGATCGTGGACGGGGCCTGCCTGAACCATTTCACACGTGAGCGGGGAGGCGAGGGGTGGGGAGCGAGGGAGGAGCGGAAGGAGGCAGAGCGCGCACGGCTGGGGCCCCGCTGAGGATGAGGACGGGGACGGGGTGCAGGTGGGACCGCGGGCGAGGGCGCGGGGGAAGGGTGGCTGGAGCCGGAGCCCGAGGGCACTTGTGAGGGTGAGCGTGGGTTCCGGTTCCGAGGGATGTTTCTGAAACTTCATTCAGATAGCGTGGCTTTTTTTTTTTTTTTTTTTTTAAAACTGGCGACTGCTTTATCTGGCATTGACATTCCTTCCGTTAGGCCCCATTGGCCCTTCCGCCCTGACTGTGCCCAAGCTGCGTTCAGCTCTGTGCTGCACTATCCAGTAGTCAATACGTTTGTGTTGAATGAATAAATGGCTGGTAGGTGCCTGTTAACTTATTTGAACACTGGCGGTGTGTGCTGCACACTTCCCAGGGTTGTTGGAAGATTGGCATGACATCAGTTGTGTTAAAAGTACCTTCCAGTGTGGCACCAACATAAAAGCTATTTTTCCACCGGGAAGTTGCACCATGATGAACTAGAAGTTCTGCAAGATAAGTTGGCCTCTAGGATACATGATGTGCGTTTTAGTAATTTCTTATTTTAACCTCTGCCTTAGGAGTCAGTAACATGATAGCAAAGCTTGCCAAAACCTGCACCCTCCGCATTAGCCCTGATAAGCTGAACTTCATCCTTTCAGACAAGCTGGCCAATGGAGGGGTGAGCATGTGGTGTGAGCTGGAACAGGTGAGCAGAAGCTCCTGAGAGGCCTGCACACTCCACTGAATTCACTGGAATGGCCACAAATATTCTCCTCCACCCCCCTCCCTTCGTTTTTTTCCCTTAGGAGAACTTCTTCAGCGAATTTCAAATGGAGGGTGTCTCCAGGGAAAACAATGAGATTTATTTAGAGCTAACATCGGAAAACTTAGCTCGAGCCTTGAAAACTGCCCAGAATGCCAGAGCCTTGAAAATTAAGCTGACCAATAAACACTTTCCCTGTCTCACAGTGTCTGTAGACCTGGTAAGTAGGAGGGACAGGGTTTCTGAAATTTTCCACAATGGTCTGGGCCTCGAAGGATTAGAAGTAGTTATTAGCCTAGGCATTTTAACAATACTGTTGAAAACCATTTGATTTTATTTGAAATTAAAGATCTGGTATATAGCTTCACCCCCGCCCCCCCAAATAAAAGAAGCCGCCCTTTCCAAACAAAAAAAACTCCAACCCCCCCCCTTTCTTTTAGTGGTATTGTCATCTAGTCTAGAAATCATGGTTTCTATCCATTTTCCCCTTTGATGCCCCCTATCTTCTGTAATACCTTCAAATGACCACTTATTCTTCAGTAACACGTCATACATGCTACTGCCAGGTGAATTTAGGACACAGCTCTCCTCCAAATACGCATACACACATACTCCTCAAAGTGGCTTTCACTACTCATAGAATGAAGTCGACATTTCTTAACATGACAAAGTCCTTCACAAATGGCCTAACCCATCTTGGAGCCAAATTGCAAACTGTTGCCCTTTGAGTGGTTCCCTGGATGTGTCCCATTCTTTCCCAACTGCCAGGCTTTCGTGACATTGGGACTTCCACTTGCAGTCTCTCCTTCTCACTCTCTGAAACCTTGTCTTCCTTTAGTGCTCAGTACCGATGCTGCCCCCACCCTGGCCTTCCATTATCCTTACAGCTCTCCTTCCTTATATGTTGTATGTACTTTATCCATCTACGGGTGAGTATTATATTCAGCTTCAAGCTCTTTATGGGAGAGGGTCCCTCGACTCTTTACAGTCAGGCAGTTCTGTCACAATGTAAGTTTGGTATGTTTCTTCAGTTGCTTAAAGAAAAGCAAGATAGTAACATATAATACTTTTCTGCCTAAAAGTACGACATACTTTGGTCTGTGAATCTCATAGAAGGCCCTAGAAATAGATAAATAGAGTTTATCTTGTTACCTGTGTAGAAAGTGCAGCATGCTGAGTGTCCTGTGTGCAAAGAATGGTCTTCTCTTGGTTGCTTCAACAAAGCAAGCTTGCTGCTTTCTGCCTCATTGCTTTATATATGCTGTTTCCCCTGCCTAAAACACTGTCCCTTTGACCCAGTCTTCCCATGGCTGCTGCTGCTTCTCGTTTTGGTGGCATCTGAAATATCACCTTAGAGAGACCACCCCCTAACCTTCCAGTCTAAGGAACGTTTGGTCACTCTGTTGTGCTTTCCAAAGGCTCTAATGAGGATCCCATGGAATTTCATTTGTTTGTTTTCTTGTTGATCCACTTACTCCACTGAAACATTGGGTACCTTTTTGTCTTATTCTCCCCATTCCCCAACTCTCCTCAGAGCTGTTCCCAGAGTGGAACCGGCACATCTTCAATGTCAGTTAAATGGATTTTGAGTGAATGAATTGAGAACATTCCACTTAGATTTGGTATTTCAACTTTTTTGTCCTCCTTGGGTTTTTTTGTTCTTGTTCTTGTTTAATATTGACAACATAAAAATATGTTTTAATTCTTTTCTTGGCAGTTATCTGTGTCAAGCAGTAGCCGCATTGTGACACATGACATCCCCATAAAAGTTATTCCTAGAAAATTGTGGAAGGACTTACAAGAACCTGTGGTCCCTCACCCTGATGTAAGTGATGCCTACAATCCTGTCATTTATCACACATTAAACGTTGTGATTTGAATTCTCTAATTTTAGTTGTCGTCTTACAGTATATTTGATTTGAAAGTTGTGTAGTACCTGAGAAGAAAGTGATACTCATTTTTACAGGATATTCAAGGAAAAAGTTGGAATGTTTGCCTTTTGTTATTTATGTAAAAGATCTTAAAATGTGTTGCATATGATAAAAATGTCATACTCCTTACATATAGGAGAATATCTTGGTCAATAACGTCACTTAAACAAAACTGAAATAATATTTTGGAAGACAGTATTTATTAGTATTGTTTGGCCTTAGGCACCAATTTGGGTTTCACAGGATTTGATCTTTTCCTAGGCCTGTCAGGAGTGCTGTCCGGGTATGTATAAGAAAGCCAAGAAGAGAGGACTCTCATGACTTAGATTTGGGTTAACAGTCCTGCCGATAGGAACCCTAGAGTCACTGAAAATAGAGGTGATGCCAAAAGGCCCTTCGCCTCCTGCTCACAATTTACTTAAGAAGAAATTACAAAAATACACTGGGTAAAATATTTATTTAACTTCTACCAGAAGACATCTACACTGATTTGGAAACAGATAGTGTTTTATAAAGCACTGTGAGTAGCAGAGTCTCAGCTGTGATGCAGTGACTGCTCGCCGTGTTTTTGCACAGAGCCTGGGTGTGAGCATCCCTTAGAGGAAGGTGTCCTGCTGAGTGCATGAGTTTTATTCGCTGTGGTCTTGTGTAGGGGCATCTCAGCTGAAGTGCTGAAATCCGTCTTGAACCAGAAGAACGCCCACAGGGACGTGGTCACTGAGGTAACCAGAGGCAGGCATTCCATTCTTTAATTTGCTTAAACGTCCATGAGTTGGTGAAATTACAAAATCGGTTTTTTTTTTACATTTTTAAAGAACTTTATTCAGAAAATTTAAAAATAGGATTCCAGAGTTTTTGAGCATGCATGCCTTCCAAAATTAGTTATGGAGCACCTGTAATTGCTAGAGTATATTAATATTTTTAATATTTGTGATTTTTCTCATTGCTTTTGTAGGTTAGTATTTATTTGCCAGTCTTGAAGATTATGAAGAGTGTTGTGGAGAAAATGAAAAACATCAGCAGTCACCTTGTAAGTTGTAACTTCTTTAGAAAAGAGCTCTGAAGTAGCCTGCGTAGGCTGCTCGTCCTTGGGGGCAGCTTCACCAGGGCCCATGGCGTGGGTGCTCTCACACTCTCCACAGTGTCCGAGGCAGGCGGGCAGGCACCCACCCACCTCCTCACTGAGCCCCCACTCATGAGGACCCGGCCTCGTGTTGAGAACCTGCAGATTGACAGTTGCCTTTAGAAACACATCTAGTGCTTTTCAACTCTCATTCACTGAGGAAAGCTTTTGTATTTGCCCTTAATTCCTCGTGTTTACAGTATATTAAGAATACAGTCAACAGTTCTGCCTTTTTTCCTTATATTTTGGATGGAATATTACATCTTCTACCTGCTAATGTGTGTGTATTTTTTATGGAATCACTGATGTGACTGGCAGTGAGTTTGGAGCGTCCTGTCTACTTGCCAGGTGTCTTTCAGTGAGCCAGGGACAAAGACCCACCACACCATAGGTGCATTTATTCCAAGCAGCTGTCACACCAAGCTAGAGGGCCCTTTGTATATTTCTGTTTATTTTGAGAATGTCTCCTGCTGTCTCTTGTTGCAAAATGCCACAGCGTATGACAGTGTTGGGGGATTGTGTGGATTATCCTCATTTACACCGAGGGTTATCTTGAGTTCTTCCTTCACCCACCCCCAGGAAAATACATTTGATTGTGTCCCTGAATCTTTTAAAAACTACCATCCACCTGATGAAGCATAAACTCTATCGCAGTGTGCCAGGCCACCTCTGCAGCCCCATCTCTGTTCCACTGCCCCGCCCTCCCTGCACAACCGGGCAGGGCACTGGCATTCCCTCGCAGTGCAGCTGCTTCTCCCGTTCTGTTTCGCGTGGGTTTCTTCTCCATCTCCCCAGAAGGCATCTAGCCATTCTCATGGTTCATTGCAGACCTTTCCCCACCGCCTTGGCTGGCAGCCCCTGCTCTGAGCTGCTCTGTCCGGTGTACATGGTAAAGCACCTGCTAGCATCTCATAATGCCTCCTGAACTGCCAGCTTCTTGAAAAGGGAAACCCTGTCTTAATCATCTTTGCATCCCAGCCACCCAGCATTGGATTGTCGTTCACTAGGCAATAATAAGTGTTGTTGTATAGATCTGGAATGAAGTTTAGCTGCAAGGGATCTTTGAAATCACAAAAGTTTTTTGAAGCCTAGAAAATGTTCATGGGCAGTTTTTTCTCCTGTTCACTTAAGAACAGTACTATCATTGGGCCTGTCTGCTTAACGCTTTTCCTTCATAACTTAACCTTTATAGAGTTCATTTTAATTTGAAATCCGCTTCCCATGAAGCAGTGTCACTGTGCTGACATCGGTGTCCCCTGTGACTACCGTGATGTTGATCCAGTTGTCAGGCTGGCTTCCTCTAGGGTTACCCTGGGGACTTCCAGGGAGATTCAGAGAGGCCCGGGAGAGAAAAGGCAGGGCAATTAATTGAAGAAACCATTTGTTTGTTCTTTCTTTTCAGTGAAAATGAGTCAGCAAAATAGAGAGGTGGAAGGGTAGCTTCGATAAAATCATCAGAGGTGTTTTGTTTTTTCTGGAATGTTTAGAAAACATAGAAGTTTTGTGGAGTGGCTACTGCAATCTGGAATTACTGAATGGAAAGTATCAAGTTAGAGTAGCCAAGCGTATAGTGAAATCTACTTGGGTAACTAGAATTCTGTGTTTGAATATTACAGGCAATAGAATTAAGGAAAATGAGTGGGATTTAACATACTAAAAATGTCCACCTTACCATCCGAGATGCTCAACTCCTCCCTTCCTTCATTTCATGGGAAATGTAACGGATGGGATATTTTGTCTGTGTGGCTCATGAGGAGCAGAAAAAGGAAGGATGACTACCAGGAATCTATATCATGTTCTGAGACATTGCTTCTAAGCTCTGCCGTGCTTATGAATCCCCTAGGATCTGACAGGAGAAGTCTGGGCTGGGCCCGAGGCTCTGTGTTTCTGACCAGCTTGCAGGAGGTACTGATGCTGCCGGTCATCGGACCACACTGAGTAGCAGCTCTTTGTGATGTGGGCTTTACTCTTTTGTGCTTGAAATGTTATCTGAGTAACGGAGCTTTGTGGGGTTGGCCCTAACGATTAAACCAGGAAAGGAGTCCCAGGGCAGGGAGAGCAGAAGTAGAAGAGAGAAGCCAGATGGAGAAGTGAGGCGAGAGAGGCAGAGGCCTGGTAGCTGGGCCGTGTGAAGTAGAGTATCGTGATGTAAAAGGGGAGTCAGAGCTACACATTTGAGTTCAGCTCCCAGCTGTACCACTCAGTGTGCACCCTAGTGCTGGGTATTACCCCAGTGGGGATCATAGTGCAGTTATCACAGGCTTTTTGCCACTTTTTGTAAATTTAGAGGAGTTGTTTTGAGACAGGGTCTCACTCTGTTGCCTGTGTTAGAGTGCAGTGACATCATCATAGCTCAAACTCCTGGGCTCAAGTGATCCTTCTGCCTCAGCCTCCTGAGTAGTGGGACTACAGGCATGCACCACTATGCCTGGCTAATTTCTTACTTTTTTTGTGGAGATGGGACTCACTATGTTGCTCAGGCTGGTCTTGAACTCCTGGCCTCAAGTGCTCCTCCTGCCTCAGCCTCCCGAAGTGCTGGGATTACTGGTGCAAGCCACTGCACCCAGCCTAGAGATAATTTATGGTAGGTGCCCAGTGTAATTAGTCAGCATTCAACAAACCATAGGTAACTATTATTAAGGAAATCATTGAAAAAAGTAAGATCTCATTCTGATACTTAAGAAATCAACTGTGTTGATGTGCTTAGTATTTCGGATCACTGAATCATAAAATAAACACAGATGACCAATGTTCAGAGAATTGGTTGTGTGTTAATTCCTTCAATCATTGTTGATTGAACGTTGTCATGTGCCAGACACTGAATGTGGTCAGGAGAGAGTTGGAATCAAATGTTCTATGACACAGATTTTAGAAATTTTAAGAAAGCAGAAGAGAGCATTTAAGCCTGAAGTGACTCTAAAACTATTGCAGGTTGCTTTCTTGAATGAGTATCTATTTGTATCTAAAATCATTGTTTTTCACAGTGGGAATTTATGGATCTTAGGTATGGTGTTTGAAACAAATGGGCATACATCATATGTTAGCTTTGCAGAGCCCCAGGAAGCAGTGCAGAATATTCACAAGGATCGTTTTATATATTTTATTTTAGTCAAGTGTTTTTCCAGTTTATAAGAGAGTGGGTTAAGAAATACAATATATTTTGGGGTTAACAAAAGAAAAAGATTGAAAATGAGTATTTTTCATTCAAAGTAAGTTTATTAGATTATGTAACAAGTAAGTTTGGGGGCTATTTTTTTATTTAATGTCAAAAGCTCAGGAATAAGAGCTCACTCAAGTTAAAAAAAAAAACCTTTTCGTTTTGTTTTTGGAATGAGAAATATTCAGAGTTCACCTATTTTAAGGAGTAAGAATGGGGGACACTGAGTTGTCTTCACTAACATGGACAGTGAAGCAGAGGTACGCAGACTGGGCACCCTCTCCATTCCTCTCGCCGCGGCACTTTGAGGATGGCCGCTACAAAGTAAGACCACTGCGCTTAACCTTTCCAGTGCCAGGTGGCACTCTTGTATTGCTGGTTGGACAGCAATACTAGAGAAATACTGTGTCTCGTGTGGGCAGGTTAATAAAATCTCAAACCATCGTGGCATACGTTTCACTTCTAAGTTCCGTCCAGTTAAAGGAATCTATTGGTTGTTGGTGGGGGAGGCAGGAGCTTGAAAGGAAAGGAGCCCCCTGTGCTCCCAGAGCAGGAAAAGCAGGAGTAGGGAGAGAGGAGGTGAAGTGAGGTCAGGCAGAGCCCTGGTAGCCCAGGCCTGTGGAGTGAGGCATAGCCAGCCTCAGGCCTGCTAACCTACGGCAGCCCCAGACCTTGCTGAATTTAGAAATCTCATTTTCCAACATCTGAGTTTATTTTTTAAATAAATGATTATGTTCTTATGAAATTCTAAAGGCTTTATAATCATATTAAATGTACAGTTGTGACAGATGATTTGGCCTGTGTATACAAATAAGGCTCTAATTTCCACATTCTTTTCCCATTCTCCCCACTCCTGTTTTGTAATAATTTCATCATGTCTGCATTGTCAGATATAAAATTATTACACATTATTCTGTCCCCTTAACTCCCAGTGTTTAGTTTTGGCTCTATGAGTAAAAATATTGCTCCCATCTTTTATGCTGTAACTTCTCTAATTTTTGTTATCTGAAGCTGATTCTCTAGTATATCACTCAGGAAGGACTTGTGGGAATGGGGTTTCATTATTTTTCACATGTCCGTGACGTCAGTTTGTCTCCTGGGCTGCATTGCCTTCTGGTATGTAATGTACTGTCAGACTGATTTCATTCTGATTTTGTTTCACAACTTCGATTTATTAATTTGAGGGGGAGACTGAATACCCTGGGGATTTTTTTTTCCGTTTTCTTGAAGTCCATTTGTCTTGACCATCCCTGGTAGATTTTCCCTGGTGTGTGGTGTGTCCTTTCAGGATGTGGGCCCAAGTGTTGCTTCCGTTCAGGAAGGTTTTGAGCTGTGGCTGTTTGCATTTCTTCTTTTTCAGTGCTTTGGTTTTCTTCTTCTGGGGCTTGTATTGAACTTGGATCTTCTTCACCATCTTCTCTATTCTTTTATTTCAGATCCTTCTTATCTCTTTGTTTCTGTTTGATAATTTTTATTTTTCACCTTTGCTTCTAAGTTTCTCTTACTGTGTTCTCTGTGGTATCTATTTGCTCTTGTCTTCTTCCTTCTAGTTAGATTCCATTTCTGAAACTTTTCCTTGTATTTCTAATTATTTCCTGAGCTCTGTCATCTCTGTTTTTGTGTGTGCATGCTGTCCGGTCTCATTTCTGAGCCCCCTTAATTCTGATTTATGCTGTTATTTAATAGCTTCTACTATTGCTAATTTCTTTTAGTTGATCTTCAAATAATAGGTTACCCTCTGCATCTGCTTTGGGGAATGCTTTTAGGCTTCTAAGTATGCTGTTGGGCATTATTGTTTCTGTTTTTCTTTTTTCAGAATATCTTTGTATGGATTTCAACCACAGTCCTGTTGTTGTTGTTACAGTTGGTTGTTCTGGTTCTTTTAGGAGGATGTTTCATTGTCAGTGTGGGAGTGGACCAGGATAGTTTTCTAACTTCATAACCCTAGCGTTCTCTATTCTTTGTAACCAAAAAACATTAAAACATACAGCTTCTCCAGTAGCTACCTTCCCAGGGCTTTCTGAGATCTGTCCCTCTTTCTCCTCCCTTTCATTTAAACCTTCATTTCTGTGTCCATCCTGTTCAGTTGGGATTCTTACTTCCCACGGTTCCTTCTCAGTGCAGGGCTCTCTCCTACCATAAGGGAGCTCCCGTCAGCTCTGCCCAGGCCTCCCAAGAGCCCTGCCCCCTTGCTACAATCTCCTATCAAGTCCTCTCCCAGGTCCAGTTCCACTGTTTTCACATAGCCCCACAGAGTTCTCCACTCTGGGGGAGAGGGGACCTCTCCTTTAGGGGCTTTGGAAGCTTCTGAGTTCTTGGCTCTCAGGCCTTGTCTTCTCTCTGTGGCCGATACCACATGGGCCTTGGGGCCCTCTGCAGTGTTCTGGGGTGCCCTGTCACCTGGTTTTGTGGAAGTTGATACCCATGGGTTTTTTTTTTCCTGCTTTTGCCTTCCTTTTCTTTTCTAAGACTGTATAAAATACTCAATTTGCAGGTTATTGAAGCAAACCTAAATGGAGAATTGAACTTGAAAATAGAAACTGAGTTAGTGTGTGTTACAACTCATTTTAAAGATCTTGGAAATCCTCCATCAGGTAAGTTTTTTGGTAGATTATATTTTGCTTTTGATAAATTAATTGTTTGATATTCATATACCTATTGAGGTCTCCTAAGGTATAAAGGTTGAAATTTGATTGAGTTGTTTCACTCTTGGGGAGAGAACAAAGGAATTGAGATTGGACTACCTGTCCCTGCAGCGTAGTGGGGCCGTTACCACAAGAGTGAGGGGCTGTGCCACCAAGCAGCTGAGGGATCTGTGCAGGGTCACCTTCCCCTCTGAATACAGGTCACGCTAAATAACCTCCAAGGTCCCTTCCAGCTCTTCAACTCCCATTCCACTCCTAAAGATTTCAGTTTCTTGCCTAGAATGGAATCAGAAAGGTAGATATATTTCTTCTTATTTTCTCCTCCTCTGGTCACATCAGTACTACTTATAGAATTAGATTAGTAGATAAAAAACTGTTCTCACTTGGTCACATTTTTCATATCATACAACATAACAAGGGACAATGGAGTCAGTTCAGTAAGCAGTGACAGAGGGGGGCGATTGAACAGTTTGCTGAGTCAAGCTAGGAGGGAATTAGAATTGTGACCCTGGAGCTCGCAGTGGGCGGCAGTGCAGTTGAGGGGGGCTGCGTGCGCAGGGGAGCAGGCAAAGGACCGGGAAAAAGTACCCATTGACAATGTGAAAATCATTTTATGATGCATGTGTTCGAAAACAGATAAAATAGGGCCTCAGCCACTTTTAGAGTTAAGATTTATTTAGCTGGGTGTGGTGGTGCGCACCTGTAATCCCAGATACCCGGGAGGCTGAGGCAGGAGACTCACTTGGCCCCAGGAGTTTGAGGTTGCTGTGAGCTATGATGACACCATGGCACTCTAGCCCAGGTGACAGCAGAGCGAGACTCCGTCTAAAAAAAAAAGATTTATTACTACAAGCTTGCTTGAATATAAACATAAATTTTAGCATAATGTTCCAAGGGATTTTCACTTCCCAGCGAAGGGCATACTGTTCCAGCAGAGTGAAATCCATATGGTTAAGGCTTTGATAGTATTGTGTGAAATGACTCACTTTGTTTCCACATACAAGATGGGACTTATCTTGGGTACTTTCTCAGAAATTGAAAGGATGTTTTCTTTTTTTCCATTCCACTTTAGAATAATAAGCCTTGTATTAGTTTATATACATATATATCTCTGCTCTTAAATACATAGTGAGTATCAAAAATACAATTTTCTTTGACCTAAAGGGGGAGATTGAATTATAGTTTCAATCCCTGTAAGTGAAGTTCCCTGGAACTTACTGTATTTTAAATAGTTAGGACCTAATAAATGCATGCGTCATGAATGATGACACTTAAAAGTTGCAGAGTTCTCCCTGATTCTAAATCAGTGGTAAGATGAATCATTTGTTTAAGTAAAATGCATTGTGCATCTCTGGGCTTCCTGTTACATCCAGAGATGTTGTATTTAAAAACATCCATGTCATTTTAGCCTCTGAAGATGCCTCTCAAGACAGAAACCCAGAGCAAATGGCTGAAGTGCACTTAGAAATCAGGAAGCTCCTACAATTTCTTGTTGGACAACAAGTAAACCCTACGAAGGCTTTATGCAGTGAGTTTCCTTCTCTATTTTTTCTTATTTTAAATACTTTAGTCAATTCTAGTCTAACAGATTGCATACGTTCTCATAAATACAACAAAAACCTCAGTTTTGTATGGACTCTAGGTTTCTAAGAGAGTTAGGTTTTCTGAATTTGCCTAGAGGTGGAAGCAGAGAAACAACCCCTGGGCACCCCATTAGCTCCTGAAAACTTGAGGCCATGCTGGGTTGGCCCACAGGTTATGGGCTGCCTCACTGGGCCATCATGCCTGGAGAGGTGATGTCAGGAGAATGGGTATGGATCATCCCTGTTCTCCATGTTCATCTAATTTTATGTACTCAGAGTCCCAGACACAGTTTTGCTTGAATTTAAGTTTTGCTCTTGCTGTCTTAGTTCCTTTCTGTGTCTACCCCGACCTGTGCTCCCTGCCCCGTATCTCCCTCTGGGCTGCTGATTGTTAACAGTTGTCTCTTGCTCCTGTCTTGGCCCTGTCTTCTGAGGTTACACACCTGCTCTGGCCCTCTTCATCCACTGACTATGCATGAGAAAGGCATTACTTGCCAAGAGCTTTTCAAGGCGTTTTTCTCTTCTTGCTACTAAATTCACAGCAACCTAAAAGAAACTGCGGCCTGGATTTGAAGTTCCACCTTTTGTGGAGTAGCTCCCAGGCTGAGCTTTCAGGTACAAGTGATCAGAGATGAGAAGGAAGATGGCCTAGGACTATACCTCATGACTTTTGAGATCTTCAGCATGCTATAGAGAAGGAACAGAAAATTCTAGGTGGCTATGTCAAGGACCTGCCATTTTGGAGGAGAGACACAAAGAGAAACCGAAGAGACCGGAGAGGGGAGACCATGGCAGGGGTGCTGGGTGTTAGGGAATTAGGGAAGGCAAAAGGTGGCGTGATGGGCAAAGAAGGAAATTTTGCCAGAGGAGCAGCAGCTGGGGGTAGAGAAGGAGAAGCTAGAATAGTGTGGATCTTGGGAGAATCTTGGGGCGAAGTACCAGTGTCTGCCTGTGCTGCATTTTGAGAAACTTTGCCAGGAACAGTGTCATGCTTCTAGGGCTGAGCATGGTGGGAGCTATGCTGCAGTGCAGGGTCCGTAAAGGTGGAAGGCCGCACTTCCCAAAACTTTGGCACGTGTGGAGATCACCGGGGGGGTCTTGTAAAGCAGACACCTTGTTTATAGTTCTGGGCTGGGCCTCATGGCTGCATTTCTTTTTTTTTTTTTATTTCAGGGTATTATGAGAGTACAAACATTATGGTTACACTTTATGTCTTTGCCTCACCCAAGCGAGGGTTAAAAGCATGCCCTTCCCCCCTACAATGCTCCCCGTGTCCTTTAGTTGTGGGTTTACCCCCCCCAATCCCCCTAATCCCTAGAGAGTATTTCTGCCATGTGATCACCCTAGCATTCATCAGTTAGTGCCAATTTAATGGCGAGGACAAGTGGAGCCCATTCTTCTGCTCTTGTGGTGCCTCACTTTGGATAATGGGCTTAAGTTCAATCCAGGTTCTAGATCACTGTCATTTCTTGTGATTGAGTAATATTCCATGGTATACATATACCAAATTTTAATAATCCACTCATGGATTGACGGGCACTTGGGTTGTTTCCACATCCTTGAAATAGTGAATTGTGCTGTCATGGCTGCATTTCTAACAAGCTCCCAGATGACGCCCGGGCTCTTGGTCCTGACAAGCATGGGGTGAGTGGTGAGAGTGTGAAATACCCTCCTCTGCAGAGTGTGGAAACTCAGGGTGTGGGGGCCCTGAGCTGCCTCACATCAGCCTTTGAACTTGGCATTTTTGAGGTCTTCTGAATAATCATCCATGGCTGATGAAGAACACGGAAGAGTTCTTATCAGCAAAGGCGGCTGATGGGCCATGGGTACTCTTTGAATAGCAAAGAAAGGTGGACCAGCAAATTGTGATGTAGCAAAAACTAAAAAAAAAGAAAAAAATCTCATGTTGAACTTATCTTTTCCTTATCACCCCCAAACATCCTTTTGTGTCTTCGGTAGCCTCCTCCAGTCTGGGCTCAGCTGTCCTCTCTAGGATGGGTCTCTGCCACCCTCATTTCCGCTGCTGCCGCCCCTGTGCCTTTACACCACCTCTCCTGGAGAGCACGCGTCTTCCTGCTTGTCCTTTACGGTCCCTTTCCCTACCTCCCATTCTCCTGGGATTGGTCTCTCTGCAGCCTCTGGCCCGTGGTTTCTCATCACTCAGCCACATTTCCTGGAGAGCTGTCCTCCTCGGCTGCTGGGCCTGGCAGCTTCTGCTCCTCTCCGTGCTCTCAGTGGTTGTCACACCGTGCGCTCCTCCCCCACTCTCATGTGCACTTTACTTCCCTGCTTAGTCTTGTGCCTGATGCCTTGGATTTTCCCCGTCGCCCAGCACAGTGCCTGGCCATGGCCTTCATGGGGTTTGCAGGACTGTTGAAACGCAGGCACCCCTCCTGCACTCTAGAGTGTGACGCAGGCTGTCATAGGTGTTGGGGAATCATGGGGCTTAGCTCTTCGCTGCACAGTTCCACCACTTAGTGGTGGGAAGCTGCTTTTCCCCAGAGGACACTGATTTGGATAAATGTGGTTTGCCAGGAAGCCAGCCTGCTAAGTGTTTCACCAAAGGCCTGGGTGGCTTTACTCTTCCTCTTTTGTTGACATTGGGGAAGCTGCCTGCGCTAGAGCCATGATTTGGCCTCAGCTGTCATAGTGAGAGGGAGAGGCTAGGGCCTCTGTAGCTGCCTCAGAGAAAACAGACACCTAAAACAGGAGGCACAGGTAGGAAAGCTGTTCTGAAGAGTGGGGGTGAAAATGTGCGTGCTGCACCAGGTCTTTAAAATAATGGGCTTTTTCTCTCCCCAGATATTGTGAGTAACAAGATGGTGCATTTTGATCTGCTTCATGAAGATGTCTCCCTTCAGTATTTCATCCCGGCACTATCCTAGCACGCCCTTGCCAGATTGGGGTGCACAGAGACTGTCCTAATGGGGAGAGGCCATAGGTGATGTGTTCTGACTAATTCGTCTGTGTCTTCACAGCACCACAAATCAACGCACTGTACTTACTTGTCCCTCTAAAATACTTTAACTAAAAATTGAATTAATGAACAACAGTTGGATAAACATATTATTTCATGTTACTCATGACTATTTTGTTTTGTTTTTAAGACATTGAAAAGAAAAGCTTGAATGTATTTATTCAGACTTACAATAACAGTTTCTCATTGAAGTTGTTAAAAAATCCTCATGTATTTAGAGTTGGTGTAGTAGCCAGAATTCACAATTGTTCCTGCGGAACTTGGTACTTCCCACCCACCTCCCACCCCCCACCGTCTCAGCATGGTGTGTAGTGCACAGTTGGTGGCTCTTGCATTTCAGCATCCATGCCTCCCCTTGCTCCCGTCCCTCGGAGCCCAGTGACAGAAAAGATGGCCCCTTGTCACCTCACCACCCACCTTGTTTACTCAGAGCATTGTGGGATGTCACAGCTGTAGCGTTTGGAACCTCTTTCTGACGTGTTGAAGACTGAAGTCCATTCAACCCCACTCCCTTCTTTTTTTTTTTTTTTTTTTTTAAGACAGAGTCTTGCTTTGTTACCCGGGCTAGAGTGAGTGCGTTGGC